ACCCCGGTAGCAAAAAATTGCACTGAATATGTTGACAACCCTATGAAAATAGCCCTACCAAGCATGTGCGTTTTAATATTAATCATGTAGTTGTTTTTGAAAGCAGAGATCGGCAGTAAATAAAAAATAAAGAATTAAAAGTCGTAAGCGGAACGATGGCGATACCTTATTGCAAATTTGCTAGGTTTTTTCATGCTCTGATTTTCTTGCATTCTGTGTCCCAATGTGTTTATTTTTTTATTATTTATATATTAATACATGTCATCCGTGGAGCGATGGTATGGATCAAGCTTTCCAAAATATAGCTCACAGTTAGGAAAATGTTAGCCTATTGTTGAAATGAACAAAAATTTTAACAGAAATTTCCACAAATTTGTCCCTTAGGTAGTAAAGCTGTGTAATTATTATATTAATCAAATTTTACTCAAACCTAAATTTCCTTGATTGCACATTTCCAATTTTGTTAATCTTACTCCAGAACAGCCTAAATGAAAACGGATATTTCAAAAAATCGTAGTTTTACAAAGAACGATCATACTCCAATTTGTAACTTCATAGTTTTTTCCTTTTCTTTTCCTTTACTCATATTTCTGTGATCAGAATGATCGTATACAACCTGAGCTCTTTTAGAATACATTTCATCCTGTTGTCCTGTACCAGGTCCAATTTTCCCTTCCTATCACCGTCAGAACTCTTCTCTCTTCTGTAATTTAGTGATTTAAATTGTTTTGATCTCCAAGTCATACGAAATAACAATTATTGTCTGCTATAATTTCTTTAGGAAACTTCCGAGATCAGCAGACACTGGCAACCAGCACAAAAGGTGACAGTGAAAGTGACATGCAAGATCAGACGCCTGACACGGATGATTCAGGTGCACATTCTTACCCTGGGGACATGAGCAAGCCCCCGCACTCAGCCGACAGTCATCACCACCACCATCACCACAAATCTCACTTGAAAAAACAAAGATCACATCCAGCCAAAGAGGCAACAACCAACGGTTCACAAAAAGTGAGTTTTTATAATTTTTTAACTTCCTTCAAAAGGATTTAAAACACACCGTTTGAAATATAGAATGCCCCAGCTCAAAGTTAACGAAGTGGAAGGTAACTTTAAAGAAATGAGGGTTTATTCTTGAGGTTGAATATACATTCAATTATGCAGTTTTTTCTAAGGTATCAGCCACAGATTTTTTTTCGGATGGATTTTCCCATACAAGCGAACAACCTATGAGTAACAAATGAGTTACTTGTATGGGGAAATCAGTACGAATAGTTCCATCGCTGATACCTCTAAAAGAACTGCATCACTCATAAATGACAGCCAAAATCAAACTTTTGACCTTTACATTTTTTGTGAGGGGGGTGGTTGGTAGGATTTTTGGTACAATGAAGAACGAGGGCTTTACTGACACATATTTGAATTGTATTCTGTAAGTTTCATTTGTGGGTTTCACAGGTATATATATAAGTCTAAAGCTCTAAGTTAATGCTAAGTACGGGTCCGGGCCGTGGTTACATACGGGTCTAGGCCGTGATACATACGGGTCTGAGCCGAGGATAAATACGGGTCTGAGCCGAGGATTAATACGGGTCTGAGCCGAGGACCGGACAAGGAGTGTCTTTCAATTTCTGATTCAATACTGTGTGTCCGGCCTATGCCCCGGCCACTATTTATAGTCAATCGCCGACTTTCCACCAGGCTGGTTTGCACAGCTTTGCGATAGGGAACCGAGCGATCGAACTGCAACCAGTGGCCGAAGTTGATGAAACTGCCTCGAGCGGGCGCGTCGGCACGCCACGCGCATCATCGAGATGATGTATGCGAGTGCCGCGCCGCCACACATCTAAGTACCGTCCTACAGTGGGATTTGAAATCGAACTTCTTTGATCTTTGGGGGTTATAATTTGCTTAAATAATCTGTTCCTCTCGAAGTACCACGTCTTTTGTCTTTGTGGAGGTATTGTCTTTACATTCTTTTACATTCAGATTTTGATCACACTTACCTGTGATTTTTAGGACCACCTCTGAAATTAACTTGAACAAACATTCTCAAATTAGTGAGCATAGTGAAGAGTTTCAGGGAGTCGACGATGTCAGAAAGGCCTAATTGTTTCTACAGGGAAGAAAATCATAATTTTAATAATTGGTCCAAGAAAAATGAGAGAGAAGGATTTTCTGGCGATTGTTGAAGTTTTGTAATGTGACAAACTGTTCTTGAGAAATTTAATGCTAAAGTTCAGAAAAGAAATGAGTAGTAAATAACTCCCCTTTATAGTGGACAAAGTTGCTGTTTATAGAGCGCTGTCGTAAATTACTTTGTTAAAATGCTAAGCACAATCTCCAACAAGTATCAGAAAAAGAAAAAGAAGGAAATAGAAGCTAAAGACAAAAAGTTAAAAAATAATTGATACTTCAAAACTATGGTGAAAAAGTTATGAATAGCTTACAGTTATGTATGATCATCATGTATACAGACCTCAATTTTGTTGTAAGGATTAGCTTCTTTTAATGTGGGAGTATTATCATCTAATCCTAGTTTTCCTCATGCAACTTTTTCTTTTCTGCTGCAGGTTGTTCAAGTGGCTGCCTTAGAAGTTCAAAATGTGAAACGTGCAATCAATAGGTACGGAACTTTGCCGAAGGGTGCTCGAATAGGAGCTTATCTAGAGTCTCTAAGACAGAATGGACTTGAGAGCGGTAATCAAAGTCAAGCTCCGCCGTCGGTGAGGAACAGTGTCAAAGCTGTACAGCAGCCTGGTAATATGATACGCAGCAACTCCTCTGGAGGTTTCCAGCACCCACCATCTTCTCCTCGCTTGAGAGCAGCGCAGCCTTCATTAGAATTTCCACCGCCCCCACCTCCGGAAGAACTAGACAACGAGCCGGAGGAATCAACCAGCAACAGATTTGGAATTAGTCTGCGGCATCGAGAGCCGTCGACTGATTCTTGCAGTAGTGCCAAATCTGAGCCAGGGCCAGGCTGGCGCAGCTCAGGTCGGCAGAAAAACCGTCCTCCTTCGCCTGGTCCTCCGGATACCGGAGAACCTGGTGGTGATGACGCTGATTCTAAGAGACTGAATAATAGTAAACAAGATGATAACAATAAGGATGGAACTGAAGGGACAGAAAAAGTCTCTCCCAGCTCCAATAGACTGCTTAAAAGTGTTCTGCCAAACATGATGAAAGAGATGATGGAACTTAAACTTGTGACTGACATCAAAGAGAGATCTGATAAAATTAGTGATAGAGTAGAGAATGACTCAAGCGTTCAACAATCTCCACCCGATTTCAAAGCAAATTTGAGGAAAGTCAGTGTACCCACTGTTGAAATGAATAAGAAAAATGATAGTCAAAATAATTTTAAAGTATATCTTAAGAAATTCGAACCAAAGAAAGTGGAAACAATAACTAATGTAGACTTAAAATCTAGGTTAAAGAAACAAACGACTGAGCCAGTTAAGTCTAACATAGATGATGATAGTGATAAAAACAATCAAGATGATGATAAAAGGAGGAGCACTGGTAGTATAAGTAGTTTGAAAAAATTATGGGAGGGTGAAAGTCCTCCCGAAGCAGCCAAAGAGAAAAGAGTTTGGCCCCCGCCGGAAGAAAAACCTGTAGTTCCGACGAAACCACTTGTGAAAACAGTCGCCAAACAATCGACTGCAATCTATGCCACGCCTGGGGTTTTAACGAGTGTTATAGAGATATGGCAAGCTTTGGAGAGTACCATTACTAGTCTTCAGTCAGCGTCGACCATTAGTTCTGCTAGTTGGCTTCAGCTTTCTGACAAAGTCGGGTTATTTCATTCATCATGTCTTAGTTACGCAGATACAATTGCTCCTCCTCAATTAAGGTTTCATCTCAGAGAATTGTTGACTAAGTTGGAAACGCTGGCTAGAAAGTTAAGGTTTGTAGGGTCTAGGAATCAAGCAGATAGTGCAACTATTTTGAATGATTTACTCAATATTCTCAAAGACACTGTCAATGCTGTGCAGCGGTAAAATTTTGTTTCTTAGTCACAATCTGTATTCTCCAGTAGGTGTTTGTTATTATTATCCAAAATGAATTATCGTGTCACATTACATGGCTTAAGTATGAAATCATTTTCATTATTCTGATCATCTATCTCTCTTGGTTGACTCATTTGTCCAGGTGATTTAACTCTTGATAGCAAATTTAGTAAGTTTGAAAAGTTTGATGTTGTTTATTTATAGACATCGATTTCGGGGCTGTTCGTTCGTAGGCTAACTTTCCAGAATGGTTTTCTCACACATTCAAGCTTTTGCCAAGAACTTTCATCAGAAGCAGTTGCGTAAAATACTGGGCTCAGATCATACGACTAAGTATTTATCATTTCTTGAGCAGCCTTTTTTCTAACTGTGCTGAAGCTGAACTATATTTTTCTACAGAAATCAATTTTTCAGATTTAGTTGAGCTATCAACTTGCGTTTGTCGAGCTATTTCATATCCTGAATTTTTATTAAGACTCCTTTGCAGCATAACATCAGCATTCCAGTCCAAGCATTTCTTCCTTCACTAAAACTTTTTTATTCATTTACTTTAATTGAAGTCTTTATTCCCATTTCTGATAATTTTTGTATTCCAATAACAATTTTCTCTCAAAATGTGAAAATTTTGAATCATACTTGCTTTTTTTGACCCAAGTATATCATCATGATAGTTGAGCGAATATATGCCCTTGTAGACCAACAGGTACGAAGACAACGAAATAATTTAATACATTCTAACCCTTACTTTCCTGCTCATTTAGGTGTGTTATGACGTTTTAGTAGTTACTAATTTTTTAAAGAAAGGATTTTAGATGGAACAAAAATTCTAGACCTCGAGTCTTGGACTTGGAATCAGTGTCAAGAATTTTACTCGAAATGAGTTTTTATTCCACTAGAATATTCTCACTTTTTTATTCAAGTTAATCGGACTTAATTTTTTTAAATGTTTATTTTGCTGAATGTAAACGGCACTAACTTTTATGACGATCGTAACTCACGTTTTGCAGATGGTGGTCAAAATGTTAGATTTTTTGCCTCGCAGAAATCTCAGTTTATTACTTTTCTAATTCTACTCTTTTTTTGTTTACTCCCTCATCCCTTCTTTTTCTCACCCTTTCCGTTCAATTCTAGTTCAGTAACCTTTCCAGTTTTGAAGAAGAGTAGACAGTTTACTCAAAATGCATGTAATCTCTGTCGTTTAAATACACTTTTCCCAGCTTTTACACAGCCTATTTTTACCAAAGTTTTGGACGATAATCATAATTAATTTATTTAGATTAGTAAACCTACACAATCATTGAGGAATTGAACGGTCCCAATCAGCATGTATTTAATGAAGTTTCTGAAACTAAAGTTAATGTTGTCACTTATCTTCAACCTTTTGCGGATGTAATGCTCATAATGTAGCAAGCTTAAGTCTGATCTGTGATTTACAAATATTTCAACTCAGTAAAACAAAATGTTTGATTTTCGTTTGAAATTCTTAGGACGTTTCCTGCTGGTTGTAGCATTTTCCATTCTTCGTTTCTATCAACTTTGGGTATTTTGTTACTTTTTTTAACGTAATTCTCTGAAAAATTGCCCGGCCAAAATTTTTTTATCCTTTGCTACTTAATCAATTACTTTTCTGCATTTTAGCCCTATTCTCGTTGTATTTTTAGAGTCCTTTTTTGCATGTTAAATTCGGCCAACGAAATCCAAATTCGACCATTGGTCCAAACCTGCATGCGATTTTAGAAAGATGATTTCGCTCTTTCTTAACAAATAATTCAGAATCCTAAGAGCTCTTAATTTTTACCTTAATTAAAAAAGGTCTCTGCTGTTCATCTGTCTGTATGGTATGATTTTCATCTAGATATCTTTCATGAAACAATGTTTCTTTCAATTTTTCTCATCTTGTTTTTAGAGAGCTAAAATGCTCTGCCTTTAAACCCATCTATCCATTAACCACGCTCCAGAATCACTATCTGTAGTTCCGACAATAGTCTTTGTATGGAAGGAAGATGAAGCTCTGCTGATGTATCATGAATTATAATTCTCCGTAAGAATGTAAATAGTTTTAGAGAAAACCCATGTTTACTCATTTGATTTTGTATCTCATGACTCTCAAAACGGTGTTTTTTGATAACTTGACTTTTGTTTTATCGATCAAATTTTTGATCATGTGTACTGTGAGTGAGAATCTCTGGTTTTGCCAGCTTTTGTAAAAAAAGCAGTTGATGAACTTCCAACTGCGCTATTTGTTTCCAAATCAATTACATTCAAGGAGTGTAGTGTTAAATTTTTTCTTGTAATTTTTTCAAAAATGTTCTCTTCTTTCAACTTTTCATTTTAGGTGCTCCCTGATCATTAGTGAATATTGTATGTTTTTATGTTCCTTTCTTATTTAATTTCAGTATCATCCTTTGCGTTTCATAACTTTCTCAAAAGTAGAAGATGTTATGTTGACCAAATCCATATTGAAATGATCAAATACCATTTAAGAACTATTATAGTTTTAAGCAAATACCTCTTGCCTTCAGTCATCATGGTATTTTGCGTTATTTAAATTAAGCCCCCTCCCCTTCTCCTCCTTTTTAATCACATTTTGTAAATGCATCGAAAACTATATTTAATAATATTATTTTACAATTTCCATCTTTCATTTTTAAGTAATGAAATAGAGTCGTCAAAGACGATTGCTGTCACTCAGTCACTTCACTATTTTCATTTTTATCTAGTTTCCACTGAATCTGAATTTTCTTTTAGAAACATATTTGATCAAAGCTTCCAATGATCTTCAAGCTTTTTTCCTTCCTTATCATTTCTTCATTCAAAGGTGGATAATTCTAAATTGACTGGTTTAAATAAAGGCCTGACTCCAAATTATTTTAACTTTAAGTGTTTTATCCATTAAGTTTTACATCTGTTTTGAAACTCACTGTATGAACTTGCAACCCTGTTTCATTTCATCCTGTTCAGTTTTAAGATTGAAATTTCTTGTAAAATCAGAATCTGGGTTTCCCTGAGACTGTTTGACGTTTAATTCTAGCAGTTCATTATACAGCGCTGTCGCTGCGTTCCTCATTCTTTAATCGGGACTCTGAATCTCGATCAAAACTTTAAAATCTAATACAGCTAGTGAGCTAGAGACACAACTATCCAAATTCTATGGATGGCTGCAACAATGCAACGGATGGAAATAGTTTGGTTATATTAAAATGCAATGTATAAAAAGGTTGCATTTCAGGATGCAAGAGCACCAAATTTTAAATTGTCGAATGTTTGACACTTTTTTCGCTTTAACACATTTTGGTAGGGAAGCAGGCTTTTTTTTTTTTTTTTTTTTTTTTTTTTTTTTACGAATAGCTGTATCATTCTGTTTATTTTGCTTCAGCAAACCAAGTTAGGAGGACTTCTTTGTTTGCAACCAGCCAATTTAGAATTTTCCAGCTTTATATTTCTATCAATTATTTTTGTTTTGTTGGAAAAAGGAGGATGTAGTGCAGTTGCCACGAGTTACGGGCAATTGGTGTCTCATCCAGAATTAAAAAAATCTTGTAAGCCTCTATTTTGTAACCTTGTATTGGTTGCATGTTTGTCATCAGTTTTTTTTTTTTTTTTTCATTAATTTTCTCTTTGAATGTAAGTGATTTCTTGTCGGAGTGGACTGTAACTACCTGCACAGTCGAAGCATTTTGATTTTTTGATAGAATACCAATGAGCAATTTTCTACTTAATATCTGGAGTGTTAATCAACCTTGTTAGGTGTCTGCTCTGCTTTGAAATTTTCTAATTAATTGTACCGCTCCAACAATTCAAACCTCAAGAATGGAGAAACTGAGCATTTCAGTGGTTCAAAACAAATCAAATGTCACAAGTATTGCTGTGATAATTAATTTTTAGTCGTTTTTATTATTATTATTACTCCTATAAGTTTATTATTTCCTCTTTTTAAAATTAATCAAGTCAAATTCTTTTAAATTATACGTATGATGATATTTATCCATCAATAAATCTCGATACTATGACAAAATGGTGTTTTATTTCTATTGTAAACATTATCACGATACTAGGATCTCTTAATCACCTCCTTGACAAACTTAAGAAAAAGAGTAAAGCTTAATTTTAGATTTTTTAGGATACAGAGAGTAACTCTTAAGTAGTGCTGTATTTTATGAAAGTAGATGTTTTGATAACTTGATGATCCTTCACCCCAGAAAACTTCTTAGAAAACATATTTTCAGATAAGTGGCATGTACATTGTGCAACTGCAAGACGAAAATACTGATCCATCCAATATTAGACAGTAATACTACCTTAAGTGAAGAAATCGCATTACTTCATCCTCTCATTGTCAGTTTTAGTTTTTAAGCACTTACAACAATTCAAGTAATTCACGTTACAAATCAAATTACGCTACAGTAGACTCACAACACAGTCAAAAAAACATAGAGAACATGTGGGGGCGATGTTCGAAACGACCAAATTGGAAGGAACCTCGAACATTTTGCGCTGTCCCTAGAGTGCATAACTTGCTGTCATGAGTAAACAGTGGATATCTATTTTAGGTATATGTAGTTAATTAATATTTTATGCTTCACAATTCAGAATGACCTGGCAATCGGTTGAAAAACCCCAAGTTGGCTCCCTTAATTTTTGTCGTTTTTGGCCTTGTCACCATATTTTTTTCTGTTTCTTTCATAAATTTATCGAGGGTGGCTCTTTCCTGGCCCTCTGCCAGGAAAATTCACGTCAAGATCCCTCTGCTGTAAGAAGGAGCACTTTATGGAAAGTTTTGAATATTTTTCTTCTTATGAAAGTTTCAGATTATTTTGCTCAAATTGCGAACAAGTTTCTTTAAAGTTGGAAAAAACATAAACAAATTTCCCAGAAAATCTGTGTTTTATCAAAAGAATTTTGGCAACAGCCGCTTCGTACAGCGTTTTTCGTCAGCATAGCAGCGTAGTTTTCACTCCTTAACTACAAATCGACGGTGAAACTACCAAACCACGTATCTCGTTTGCGGTGTTTAAAAATCTACGCTCACATTTTATTTTTTTGAAGTAGACCAAATCAATATCATTCCTTGAAATTTTCACGGAATTTTCTCCGCACAAAGAGGAAAAATCACAGAAATTTTTAAGACTGGATGTTAAGTAGTTTTTCATTTAAAAAATAAAGTATGACAGGAAGTCTGCGACGTCGCAAACCGAGATACGTGGTTTGGTAGTTTCACCGTCGAAATCCTCCTCATGGCAGAATCAGGATGATGGCGATTAGTACAGCGCGTCGGTTTTGAGCGGCGCGCCATCCACATCGATTGGTAACGAAGTACTCAGCTGTTTTAGTCCGCCTTCAAATTTGGCGATACAACCCAATCCTACACAGAAGTTAATTAAGTTGCATCCACCAATCGGCTGTATTCTAAATGTTTTTACGTATCTTGAGCACCTATCACTTACATTGGAAGAATTATTAATAACTTTACAGGCATGGTAAGGAAGAGAGGCCGTATGAACATTCAAATGTTGCCAAATTTCTCCAGATATAGTACTTTTTTTAAGGGGGCCAGTACTACATTGTGCGCCTAAGGAGATGGGCCAACAATTCTTAATCCGACCCTGGCGATCAATGTTCTTAGGTGCAAGGGCGAGCGAGAGAGAGAGATTAAGAAACTTCGAAAAAATAGCTCACAGCAGGGACTGTAAGAGCATTCAACAGAATTGCAAGGAGCTGGACTGCTGGAGTATGCCCGACGAATCATTTGATTTGGAAGCTCAGGAAATTGAACCGTCAGCAGAGCTCCTTCAAATCAATGGATAGGTCAAGTAGATATTGACTCTTTGAGAGCAATTCACATATTAAGGCCCTACCAATACGAAGCACCTGAGAAAAAATCTAATACATTTCGCCGGAGTTATAGCCATCCTTAGAGACGCTCACTTCAATAGCTCATAAAATCATTTATAATTATTAGAATGACGGCTAGAAATCAGCCAACGTTCTTGAAAACATAATGAGGCTATTTGTATCAAAACCTGAACATATATTTTTGTGATCCAAAATTGGTTTTTTCGTTACACAGGACGATTACAGCCCCCCCCCCCCCCCCGGTGAGGGTCCTTTAGCTAGACTTAAACACATTTCAACAGCATTTGATGTAAGCATATGAATGACCCGCTGGATTCCTCCTAGATCAACTTCAGCAGCAGCATGATGGTTATCTCCCCATAAGGGACGGAGCCGGTTCACGATATCGTCATCTTTCGGCGCGTAAGTATACCTATCACAAGCGCCATGCGATGCTTAAAAGTTTCCGTCGCCATTTTATTCTTTACAGAGAAAGTGTTGGTTGAACCTGGTGAAATTTCACTGAGTTTTATCGGCAGCACCAAGAAAATTCATTGAAATTTTCAAACAGCTTCCTTTGGTATAAGCAATTTCTCTGTAATAAAATTAAAATGACGGCGGAAATTTTTAAACGTCGCATGGCACTTGTGATACTGTGGCCGGAAAGTGACGATACATCAATCGGACTGCATTTTGCGATTTGGAACTATAAATTCTGGCTCTCTTGGAAAAACACTTATGTGCATAGGGAAACTAATGGCACATACGTTGTTTTTAAACCGGGCTAGAATTTATAGTTCCAAATTGCAAAATGTAGTCCATATCGTGAAGCTCCCAAACCACGTGTCTCGTAATGCGGTGTTTTAAAATCTCTGCTCCTATTCTATTTTTTTAAAAAACCAACAAAACAACATCATTCTTTGAAATTTTCACAGAATTCTCGTTGCACATAAAAAAGAAAAATCATGGCAGGTTTTCAAACTTGGGCCTAAAAATCCTTAACCCGGGCCTTCTACGGGAATTTCCTACTCTCATCATACGAATTCCGAAAATAGTAGGTACCCGAGCATTCTGGTATCCGCACCTAGGTCGCCACACACTACGCTGCTGTACTAAAGAAAAACCCCGTATGAATCTTCGGGTTTTGCCAAATCCTCTTTGATAAAATACGAATTTATTTGGAAAGTTGTAGATATTATTCTTCAAATTTTCCGGACAAAATCTCCGTAATTTAAGCTAAAATATCTGAAAGTTTCAAGGCATAAGTTCAGTATGCATAACTTTCCTCCAAAATGAAATTTTCAGCAGCGAGAAAATTGGCATCATTCGAATGTTCATACGGCGTTCTTCCTTAACGTGGCAGTACGTTCCTGTTACTGACGTCACTGTGCAGATTGCGCTACAAAAAGGGACACTCAATCAACAGAGGATCGGAATAGAGGGCCGGCTGACGAGCGAATGACGAGAGGTTTCGCGTGTCTGTGGGAGTTCAGCTTAGTTCATTTACATACCATCGCGGCTCGACATTTAACCGTGGGAGCACCTGATTTAAAGTCAAAAGCATTTGTGGGATATTTTTAAATGTGAGCGGTTTTGGCTCCTGGGGCTCTTGGACCAAATCAGCACCAGATCGCACGAGGGTTCAGTGTCGGTTATTAGATCGGGATTTTCGACTCCGATTTCGGTGCTCGCGGTTTATCCTGTTCGAGACTTCCCGCGTCAATTTGAATCTTCGTCCGGTCATTCACCAGCCTGGTAGAACTTTGTGGTGGAATTACCTCTGAGCGTTTCTCAAGTAAGTCGTGTTTTTTTTTTTTTTTTTTTTTTTTTTTTTTTTGGAGGGGGGGGGGCTTTAAAAATAATCAGGTTTTGGCCCGGGAACGCGATTTAAGGACCCGGCGATTGTAAAATTAAAAAAATAAAATGGTGATTTTAAAATTATTCCAACACACATCGATCCTAATTGATGAGGGAATTCACACAAGAGAACCCCATCAAACAGAGAAGCCCATCAATATAATCTCGTAGGCACTGCAACAAACCCCGCATGAGTATCAGAATGTTGTCATTTTCCTCGATAAAATATTTCTCTTTGAGGCTGTTCTGAACACTTTCTCGAAATTTTCAGATCTCTAGATTGACCTTATGAACAAAATAATCCGAAAATTTTGAAGACAATTGGTATCTTTAAAGCTTTTCACAAAATGGGTATTTTATCAAAGAAAATGTGGCAATGTCCAAAAGCCCATACGACGTTCTCTCTTAGAGAGGTAGTATATGTACCGGGCCTTTGGGAAGGGCAGTGGCGTGGCGTGGTATGCGATTCATCGATTGTTATGCCATTTAAAACTATGGAAAATGATCGATAATCAGGGTGTTCGCAGCGAACACCATAATAATCGATTCTTTACCATAGTTTTAAATGACATAACAATCGATGTATCGCAAACCACGCCACGCCACTGGAAGGGGGTTGTTATCGAAGAAAGTATTTACGGTGTCCGCAGCGCACTGAAAAAAAAATCTCATCGGTGTTTTTACTAAGAAAAGGGTAAAATTACCAAGAATTCACGGTTCTATTTGAACTCAGTTTTTTCTTGGTAAAATTACCATTTATGGAATTGGTAATTTCACCGAGAAATCTCGGTAAAAATATTGAACTTTCTCGGTAATTTTACTGGACCTTGGTAAAAACGCCAATATTTTTTTATCGACTGTGGTAGAATTACCGAGATAAAATGGCAAAGTTACCGGGAGTTGATTACCAATAAAAGTGGTATTCTTACCTGAAAAAAAACAGTAAAAATACCGGTTTTTAGGTAAGCTTACCATTCTGTCTTGGTAAAAGTACCGCAATAATTAGTAAAAAAAAGTGAGATGGTGAAGGTACCAACGGACCTTGGTAAAAACGCCGAGCATTTTTTTTCAGTGCGGTATAACGTTTATGTGTACAGATTAACGACGCACAGGGGATCGAGTTATTCAGAGAGGTCGGACGTAAATTGTTTCACTAAAACTGCAAATTTTGATATTGTTTCGCCACATTTTAAATTTTAAGGGGTGCCTCTATGAGGAAATTTCACGAGGAAACCAATGGAGCGATTTTTAGAACCTCAACATTAATTTAATATAAATGGAGTCATGAGCTTTTAAAGTTTCCGAATTTTATCCAACCTCTCCTATTGACTCGATCCACTGTGCGACGGTGCATGACTCCAAAAACGCGTAACTTAGTTTGATGCTGCATATCGACGGTGAAACTACCAAACCACGTATCTCGTTTGCGGTGTTTAAAAATCTACGCTCACATTTTATTATTTTGAAGTAGACCAAATCAATATCATTCCTTGAAATTTTCACGGAATTTTCTCCGCTTAAAGAGGACAAAAAATAAAGTATGACAGGAAGTCTGCGACGTCGCAAACCGAGATACGTGGTTTGGTAGTTTCACCGTCGATATACTTCCTGCGATTATTTATTCGGTAATTGGGAAAGATACTAAACTTCATTTATTGAAAACATCCTAGTTTTCCATCCCTGTGCGAAGGTGAAAATTTCAAGCATGAGTGTTGGTTCGTTGTCCTTCGACACTCACCTATTGTAAAACGGAAGCGGAGATTTTGAAACACTGCACACGAGATTCGCGTTATGCAGCTACACCGTCAAAAATACTCGTAGTTACGAGAATGACCCATTTCAACTGACTGAAACTGTTGCACTGACCGCTGATGATGATGATTCACTTCCGTTGTGTGATCCGCGCCGTAAAATCTCTTGATAGGAGTACAACCGTGCGTCAGCAAGTATTATATTTTTATGATCCGCAGTTGTATCAAGAGGAATAAATATTTACCCGGTCAGCATATTTTTTTATACGTGACGAAGCGTTCTCTCTAAGCCTTTGGCGCCGACTTGAAAGATGAAATTTAATTTCCACACATGGAAGTAACAAGCTACTCGTGGGTGCCACCACGGCCAAAGACGCGATGATAATGTGAGGCAACGTTGCTTGTAACGCCTTGATGCAACTATTCGTACTCGATGGATGTCCTGGTTGCATATTCACAAAACTGAAGGCGTTTTGGTTTTCCATGTGCCCTTGCAGCGTTGCGCCCTATAGGCTGATGATGATGTAAGCTATCATCGTGCGAAGAACGTTCCCACTAACTGGGATGTGTTGATGAGCTACCTATTTCTCATCGTAACTACATTGATATTGACACGATCAATGAAAACTGTATTTGTGATGAGATAAGGCAAAAAGGCTTTTTAGGTGGAGAGTCAAATTTTTAAGTGCAGCAAATATACCGATTGGAAAGTCAAAAGTATTGATTTCATTTTTCCATGCTGAGCGTTTTTTAACACTTACTTTCTAGAACGTTGGGTCGTAATTTTAAGCTGTACCAACTTTGTGCATTATTATTGATTTTAAACGCTTGGTCAACTGAATCGTTTTTGGGGTTGGCACCAGAGCACATTTTTTTTAAAATTTTGGCATTTTAACAGTTCTTCTGCAACCAAAAGGATAGTGCATTAAACCCTAAAACCGTAACTTTCATTAATTAATACATGGGGGAATCAACTCTGCTAACTCGTTATGAAAGATATATCTTAATGATAAAACCCAGTCTTACTATCGACAGTTTGAGATTCGATTTTCGTTTCAATTCGTTCAAAGTTTTGAAACAATGCAAGCAAAGGTTACCTACACAGGCAAAGTTTTCATCCATGAGGTTACCGATATTATTTCTGATAACCAATCGGTCATCTTGCAACTTTTCGTTTCCAAGTTTTCAACGAAGTTGAAATTAGTTATTGGGTTCTTCGAAGTTCCTCTCAAGTCGGCCTTTTTGCTTTGAGCACTTATGAATTAAGATTGATTTCAACTGAGAGTGGGCGAGCCAAATTCATAAGTACCTCGTTGTCAGTCATGCAGTAAGGCTATGTCATAGCCTTACTGCAAGTCATGTGCGCTTTTAAGAGATTTCGGACAGCTTATTCAAGATAATCTATTAAAGCTATATTCAAATAATCCATCTACATGCACCAGGCATTACTTTTTACATAAACTGATTGCGGTGGACGCACGGGTCGTGAGACAGAATGTTTCGTCGCATTTCTAAGGCGCAATGATACAACTATTTGAACTCTCCGGAATGCGTGAGGTATCGCGCCGCATTTGAAGGCGTTTTCAAAACAGCCAAGTTCCCCGGATTATCGTTTTGGAAAGTTCCTATTATTATGTTTCATCTCCTACCATTTGTTTCTTTTCAATTCTCCTATAAAAACTACTCATTTGCTAAATACACATCGGGCTGGAGCGCACTTATGCTATGCATTCACGACTGCAAAAATGTTAATGGAAATCGAATAGGCCAGCGTGCTTGAAGGCAATTTCAATTGTAATCTTCCGTCACATTCTTATGGCGCAATGATACAACTATTTGAGCTCTCCGGAATGCGTGACGTATCGCGCCGCATTTGAAGGCGTTTTCAAAACCGCCAAATTCCGATACCCGGATTATCGTTTTGCATAGTTTATATTATTTTGTTTTTATTTCTAACCACTTGTTTATTTATAATCCTCAAATAAACTTACCCATTTGCTAAATACAATTCTAGCTGAAGCGCAATTAAGCTATGCATTCATGACTGCAAAACTGTAAACGGAAATCGAAAAGGCCAGCGTGCATGAAGGCTATTTCAATTGTAATCTTCCGTCACATTCTTACGGCGTAATGATACAACTATTTGATCTCTCCAGAATGCGTGAGGTATCACGCCGCATTTAAAGGCGTTTTCAAAACAGCCAAGTTCCGATACCCGGATTATCGTTTTGCATACTTCATATTCTTTTGTTAAATTCCGTATCACTTGTTTATTTATAATCCTCCTATAAAAATTACCCACTTGCTATGATGTCATGTCAATGTTATTAAGAGTCTAAACTTGAAATTCATCAAGCGCCTTTTTTCCAGTGTATATTTAAGATTAAGATTTCGGTAATTAAAAATGTAAGATTTTCCTATTCTCTCATTAAAGTTCTCTCGTGTTGAAGAATAAAAATAAATAAATAAAAAAAAAAAAAGACGCTCCTTGTGCGCCTTTTCGTACCATGGAACAGGACCCCTCGGATCGCGTATTTGCTCGGAATCAGTCTCTTTGCGTGCCTTTTCGTGCTTTGCCGTCGATTGTTTGCTTTTCAAAAGCGTGCTGGATATAAGTCAATATTTGAGAAGAACATGTTACATATAAGCAAGTCTAATGGAAAGGAATCATCTCACTTCAGTCATAGCCAAATCTTCGGTTATNAAAAAAAAAAAAAAAAAGACGCTCCTTGTGCGCCTTTTCGTACCATGGAACAGGACCCCTCGGATCGCGTATTTGCTTGGAATCAGTCTCTTTGCGTGCTTAACAAGATGGAGAAATGGTGCTGGGTCTACACCATTTCACGGGGAACACTCTTTGCGTGCCTTTTCGTGCTTTGCCGTCGATTGTTTGTTTTTCAAAAGCGTGCTGGATATAAGTCAATATTTGAGAAGAACATGTTACATATAAGCAAGTCTAATGGAAAGGAATCATCTCACTTCAGTCATAGCCAAATCTTCGGTTATATCTTATTTATCGAATGGGAAACTCGATGACGTCAGCACGCCTCATGTTCATGAGGTATAAAAATTCTAAAAATGTAGATAACAGAATTCCTTATATTTTAGATATAGATGGCAATATTCGCAGAATGCGTCTATCCCGACTGCAACGTTGCAGATTGTCACTATGTTTTCCTCGTCTTTT